GAGAGCCTGTTTCCTAGACCCCCTGAACATGAGGGATTACAGGCAGCACCATTTCCCTCGCTCCCCGGCTTGTTTCCGCACAGCTTGTCTTCTCTCAGACTTGGTTGTCGTGCCGTCTGTAGCCACCTGATTTTATAACAGTGCTGCCACCGTCGTGTCTGCCTGCTTAAATCACGATCATCATTGCATTCACGTAGTCTCCAGGACACCTTTTCTAGTCCCAGGCTGTGCACAGTGATTTGTGTATGTGTCACGTGTCCCTGTAGTGCAGAGAGAGGAAGGCATTCTTAGTGAGCGAATGAATACTGAAGTTAGAGGGACAGATTTGAAGAGAAGAGAGGGAATGAAGGAGAGTAGACTGTTAATCACACATAAAGTACCTAAGCCATGAAGTGCTCATTAAAGTTAGAAAAACTCATTCTCTGAGGGTCATGACCGAATTCTAAAGACTGAGTTGTGGTTTTACTTAATGCTGTAGAAAAGTGGTCCCAGAAACCCTGACTGTCCCTTCTAAAAACACTAGGATGGTTTAGGGGAGAGTCTACAGCCCTGAATCCCCCAAAGTCAAAGTAAGCCACAGTCTCTACAGAACAAAGCACAGTCAGCAAATCCTATACAAAGTGCAAGGAATAGTAATTGTGGAAGGACTTGGAAGTTGGAATCACAAACTGGATTGATGTCTTCCTGATTTGTTGCTTGTGGATTTTTAAATACATTTGTTAAGTTTTATTTATGTATATGTTTGTGTGTCTATAAGTTTATGTACACCCACATGTATGAGTCCGTGGAGGCCAGAGGGGGTCAGATCATTGGGATTGGAGTTCCTGGTTGTGGGTGCCGAGAGCCCAGTTTAGGTCCTCTCCGAGATCAGCGTGTGGTCCTAGCCCTGCGCCATCGCTTTAGCTGTTGCTGTGATGTTAAGAAAGCAATTCAGTGGCTGGTTTTAGTTCTTAATGTATAACTTGGTTGATCTCAGAAGCTTTCTCTGTTTGTAAATTCTTTGGATTTTATGAAGGAAATAGCAGAATGAAATAATTTTACCTGGAAACATGATCTGCAGGGTAGGTTGTAGGTAAAGAAGTCATGGGATGAAGCTCCACTGTGGGCTGTGTCTGTTGCCAGTTTGGGCGTAGCAGCACTGGACTTCTCCGCAAGTCTAGACACTTGGCTATAATGAAAGGGGTCTGTTGAGGGCTTCCCTTGGGTGCCTGGATCGGGATTTGGTGTTGTAACTGGACTTCCCCTGGATTATTAATTGATACCGTGTGTCTCTAGCAAAGGGGGTTCTGTAGATGGGGCAACTTGCTGTCAGTGTTTAGGTGCTGGTTGTGAGGCGGCTCTTCAACAGAAATAATTTGTGGGACACTTACTTTTTTCCACTAAATACTTGGTCTGTGTACATCTTTGTATTGGGGCACATGTGTGCCGTGATGCACAACTCGTTGGGGCAACTTGCAGAAGTCAGTTCTTGTCTTCTTCCCCTTGAATCCTAGAGATAGAACTCGGGTTCAGGCATTTACCCCCTGGGCCTGTCACCAGTGCCTTGGGATGCTTAAATCACTGCTTCTTAGGATTTTCTGAAAGAGGATCCATGAAGAATTTAATTCAGTATTTGTTTCTCTTGTCAAATAAGAGATAGGAATCTATTTAAAATATGTACATGGGAGTCTTTCTGAAAGGGTTGATTCAAAACTTAACCTTTTAAATTGATTTTTGTTTTTTCCATTCTTTATGTGTAAAAATTGGGGTAGAAGAAAAAATAAATATCTTCTTTATAATTGTGTAGAACAAAAAGAAGTGATAGTGTTTGTTAGGTCGTTGACTTTCTGTCACCTCCCAGACTCTCATCAGTCCTCAGCCCGTGTACACTCTCTGTGTGTCACCTCCCAGACTCTCATCAGTCCTCAGCCCGTGTACACTCT